GTAAAGAGGGCATGTGTGACTTTAAAAGTTAAGCTACCTGCATATGTTGCAGTCCAACTAGCGCATTTTTCAATTTCTTTATCTATTCTCCTAAGTGGTTTGGACATTATCTTTCCCTTATACTTATCTACCTTTTCCCTAAGTGTTTCAAACCTTCCCATCAAACATGGTTACTATTGGTCTGTCCATTTGTAACAAAATGGTTGCATTGAAAGACTCGCTTAAATTGTTCATTAGCAAATCACACTTAGAATAAAATGGAAAAGCACGCTTACACCATTTTGTCTTAGGAATAACCTCTAACCATTCGTATGCCTCCAAACTGAAACACTTGATTTCAAGCATCTTAGCTTCATGTGCTTCAAAATAAGTTGTCTTTGCGGCAACCATCATCAGATCTCTAAAAATGTTCCTCCTCCAAACTTCTTCTTGAAGTTTGCATACAAGTGCCTTATATAAAATCTGTGTTTAAATCCTAGGGTACTCCTCTCCAAAAACATTAAACAAACCCTTTCGGAAAAAATAAACAAATTCAGTTAAAATAAAACCATAATAATTTAGGTAAACAAGATAGTTCATGAGTTGAAGACTTACCTTTTGCTGATCAGAGATGAAACACCATTTGCTTTCTCCAATGTCTTCAAGAAGAAACTTAATAAACCAGCTCCATGAATCCTTTGTTTCAGTTCCAACAACTCCAAAAGCAATATGCAAGTACTGATCATTATGATCTCTCTCAACTGCAATAAGTAATATACCACCATATTTGTTCTTCAAATGACACCGATCTAAGCCTATAAAAGGCCTGAAAGCTTTTGTTAGATCCTTTTTTGTCCCATCAAATCACATATAGCATATTTCAAATCTTGGTTGCAACATGAAGGTGGAGTAATAATGTTAATCTTGAAAGTGTTTCTTGCTGAAGCCCTCCTCAACTCAACATCATATGACCATAACAAGTTGTATTATTTTCCAGATCCCCTTATACAATTTTTCTTGCAAGTTGCCTTTCCTTAAAAGCTCCACAATCTGGTATTTCAGTTGCATACCTAAGCCTCACAAATGCTACCACCTCATTTAATTTAATTTTTGTATTATTTTTAAGTCCATAAAAAATTACCTTTGCAACCCACTATGCTTTGGCACTTTTGTAGAAGAACTGTCTTCCACACTTGTGCTTGTGAAACAATGTCTTTATCATAAATGTTATGGTGGTTAAAACTCTATTGCATAACACGGTATAATTACATGTTTTTTTGTCCTTACATACCACCCCACATCTATTAACATCATTTTTTTTCAAACCATGCTTCCCTTCCAATCAACACATAATGCTCTACTATAGCTTTCTTAAATTGTTTCAATAAAAAAAATTCATCCCAACATTGAAAGTAAAATTCTTACGAAGAGCCTAATCTTCTTTGAACCTAATTACACTAGGTCTATCATCACAACTATCATCGTCTTCCCCATTATCAAGTTTATTAGTTGTGTATTATTCTTCAATGACATGCTTTTTATCCATCTCGTGTGTGATAAATATGTTTTTGGACTCCTCCATTGGGTTCTCACCATCTTTAGGTTAACCATTAACTACACCTTCATTTATACCTTCACCTACACCTTCAACTATTCCTTCATCAAAGCCACCATCAAACCCTTTCACCCTCTCCTCCTCACTATCATCAAAATACACACCATCCATAAATTCATCACTAGATTCACCTTCAAAGTCACTAGAATTCTCAACCTCTTCATCACTTTTATTCCCCTTGCCTTTCTCTCTAACCTTATCCATAAAGGTGGACTCTCCTGTAACTGGTTTTGATTCACGAAATATCTCAATTTCACATTTTCAAATGCAAACATAGATATTTCACAAGCATCTCCATCACCCATAAAAGGTTTTAAGTATTCTTCAAAGCTACCATTGTCATGTTTAAACCATATTTTCACAACCATAACATCAAACTCGGTATTAATCCCTTTAATTAATTCACATGCTTCAAAATAGGACCAATAATCTGAATCTTGACCACTATATGCATAAACTTACCCACCCTTATATCTTAAGTTAGGGAATTTGACAAAGCAACCCTTGGTGTAAAACATAACCTTAAATTTACCCATGGCATGTACAATAATTAACTTACGGTAAAAAAAATCAAATTAGGTCAAATACAATATTTAATATAACTTGAATAAACATACGATGCATACAAACCCAAAACAATACGACATTCATGAACAACACAAGTAACATCATGGGGCCACAACCCTTTAATAAAAAAGGTGAGAAAAGGACAAACCTACAAGGGTCCACGCGATGAATGTTTCGAAAAAATGGGACCACCAAGATTGCTTTCACCTAAAAGGGACCACCGTTCCAACAAAATTTCAACATGAAGGTAACACAATCACGCACGCAGAGGGTCTACAAGTACGCACGCAGAGGTAAAAGAAGAGATATCTCAGTTCTAGGTCAAGAGTCGTTTTGATATTGTAAAGTGAGGAATTTTGACTTTCAACTTATTTATCTCAGGTTTGAAAGTCCACGTTGGCAAATCAATTAAAAAAGTTTCACATTTGCAAACGACTCCAGTGCCATGTAAGCCCCCGTTAGTGAAAACTAACAGGAGAGACCAAACATATGGACGAAAAAATTTATAAGAACTATTGTTTGAAAAATAATTTAGAAAAACTAAAAACAAAATTCAAAATATTTATAGGGACTAAAAATTTATTTAACCCAATTAAATAAATATCATATTTTAAAGTTTAAAATAACATATAGTGCTAGAGAGAAAAAGAAAAGAAAATACTCGAGTAACAATTTACTAGATTTGAATTTTAATTAATTTTTTAATTTAATATTTTTTTATAATACATTTTTATATTATTTTTTAAACACTCATTTCAATTGTAAATATAAAGTATAAACAATGTCTTTCATACAATTATTTCCATAATATATTTCCATAGTTTTATAAAATTTTATTTTATATTTCCTATATAAAAGGTATGATTTTAATATCCTTTTTATACCACAAAATATAATGGACCGACCATATTTAGCACATGTGAAATGGGTGAAAACTATTGCACTCTAAATATTATAAAAAAAAGGCTAATTATTGCCCCCTTTTTTAGTTTTTCATTTCAAGAATACATAATATACGTTTACATTTTGAATATTTTTAATTGAGGATAAATTGATCACTTAATTTTATCTTTATATCTTACAAACTATCATCTTATATATATATTTGTAGCATGGTTTTTTCTGACGAGACATTGCTTCATTCTCCCAATTTGCAATTTTGCTAGACTTGTTTGTACTATCGAATATGACTTTTTAAACTTAAAAAACTCTTCTTTCATAAAATTTTGAAAACTCGAAAGTATATTTCGGATGTGCATATCTGAATGTATCTTATATTTAATTTCAGGATTTTCGTATATATATATATATATATATATATATATATATATATATATATATATATGTGTGTGTGAAGCATCACAATATTTCATTTTCAGAGGTTTTCAAATATGTATATCTAAAGTATTTTAATATTTGTATCAATTAGAATCAAAGTATATCAATTGTATTAATTGATATATTTTATAATAAAATAAAATGTAATTAAATAATCTCGGTGTTCTAGACCTTGGGTGTATCTTTAGCCTTTACGCGACCTAACGTAATAAACTAAATTTTTTAGAAAATCGATTTTAAATTAAAATTTTACCGTGTCAATTCATCCCAAAAAAACCCTAAATTTCTTATTTTCTATTTTATTTGATCAATTTTTCGTTTTTATATTTTCGAAAAAATCCAAAATAAAATTTGACACTTAATTAATTTAATTTGATTTTTAGTTATATTTTTAAATTTTTATAACAGGGTAAAATTCAAAAATACATATCTAAAACCACTTTTTTCGTAAAAAAATAAGGTTTATTCTGATATATATATATATATATATATATATATATATATATATATATATATATATATATATATATATATATATATATATATATATATATATATATATATATATATATACGAAAATATCTTTTTTCATAAATTTTTATAGAATAAAGATCCGTTCGGATATGCATATCCAAAAATATGAGACATTTTTTAAATTTCGCTAAAAACCTCCAAAAAAAAACATATAGGTGAAGAAATAAACTCAGTTGTGTATTAGATAAAAGCTTTATACCATTTATATCAATTCATACTTTATTTTATGATCATTTTTTATTAACTTAATTTTTTTTCTCACTAATATAATATTAAAATTTTAAATTATAATTAAAAACTTCTACAAAATTAAATTTTTTAATACAAATGAATTGTTTATAAATAAAAATATATTATTACACACATCATATATTTTTAAACATATTTTTATATAATTTACTTGCTAATTTATAAATAAATGTATAATTCAAATGTATAATTCAAATATACATTGGTGGGTTGATACGGCGAAATTCTCGTATAAATGTGCTGACAAATTCAATGGTCAAATTGTTTCAACGGAAGGACTTAATTTTAATACTCAAACAAATAACGTAATAAAAAGATTAATTTTTACTTCAACTTCTGTCTGTTTTCAAACAAGGATAATAATGCAACTTGCAGAAAATCACAAAAGAGAAACCTTATTTAAGAGTTTATTCAAAATTTAGATGATAAAAATCAAAATAGTCAAAGTAGTCTCTAAATCTTCCTTAGATTCACTTTATAAAAATTAGTAATTACAATGTTTGAAAATATCAAAATTATTGTAAAGTTAGAAAAACCGTGTGTGCCGTTATAGTAGCCTCTAATATTTTCCTCGTTAGAGTGACCTTAAATAAAAATCAGCAATAATAATAGTTGATAACAACAAAAATTATTGTAAAATTTGAGAAATCGTGTGTTTTATTTAATCAAACATTAGTGATATCAAAAACAATAACTAGTGTATTGATAATTTCTCTCCATGGTTAAGATAACTGTTTTAAAGGTTGAGATTGATTGTCTCAAATGCAAAAAGAAGCTCATCAAAGCTGTTTCATCTCTTCGAGGTAACCACAACGTTAGACACTAACTACATTACTACTTAGTCTCCCTTCTCATCTCTCCTTGTCTTTTTTAAGGATTGAATTAACCTTATAATGCTTAGGTTATAAATATTTTGAATTTAAACATATGTTGTTTAGAAATTTTTATAGGCTAAAATTTGTGGTTAAACTATTAGAAAAAAAAATTATTAGTAGTAGCATATGACCCCTCCTTTGAAAACTTGAGAGGATATGACGATAGTGATTAATAAAATATCAATTATAATATTTTTTTGTATTTAAATATAAAATTGCCATCAAACAATTGTTTTTTTTTACTATACTTCCTTTTAAATATTATGTTGGTAACTCAAACAAAATTCTATTTTAGAAAGAAAAATTTATGAAAATAGCATTGCATGCCATAACATTTGATTCATAAGAAATAGAATTATAAGCATCTAATGACTTGTTATAATCTTTCATTGAATTGCAGGGATAGATGAAATAGAAGCAGATGAAGAGAAAGGAACATTGACTATAATAGGGAATGCAGATCCATATGACATAATAGTTCGAATAAGGAAAGCTGGGAAGAGTGCTCAAATTCTAAGTATTGGGCCTCCTCTTGATCCAGATCCTCCAAAAAAGTTCGAAGAAGATAAAAAGTCTGAAGAAAAACTCGAAGAAAAGCCTGAAGAAATTAAAAAATCTGAAGAAAAATCCGAAGAAAAACCTGAAGAAATAAAAAAATCTGAAGAAAAATCTGAAGAAAAGCCTGAAGAAATTAAAAAGTCCGAAGAAAAACCTGAAGAAAAACCTAAAAAAACGACAGAAGAAACTAAAGAATCCGAAGAAAAACCTAAAGAAAAACCTGAAAAAAAGACGGAAGAAAAGATTAAGTCGGAAGGAAATAATAAACCCGAACCAACGAATTCAGATCCAGTAAATCCAAATCAAATATCTAATGTGCCACCGCCGTATATGGTGATGCCTCCTCAGTACTATTACCCACAATACTACCCAGTGCCTCCTCATTACTACTACCCACAATGCTACCAGACCCAACCCCAACCAACTCCTTCTCAGTACTCCTACCCACAATACCAGCAGGCCCAACCAGTTGCTGTGCTTCACATGGCTAGGTGGGATGAGCCTGATACATCATGCACTATATTGTGATGTTTCTTATGAGAAACTTATGATCCATTTTTAACTCCACTCAAATTAAATTGTTGAATAACGATTTAATTTTAGTAGAATTAAATCATTTTTTCTTCAAATAAGTTAAGTGAGATTTGATTTTTATTAAGAGCATTGTTAAATGTTACGAGTTCGACAACATGAAAGACAATAATTAAACATGTAGTATCTTTTGAAAATAAGAAATTTCGGGGAGGTTCTTGTGTAAATTAATAGTTAAAAATCATTATTGTATGTTTTTTTTTTGGAATAAATCATTATTGTATTTTTCATTTTAACTTTTCTAAAAACTAGCATTTTCCTTTTGGTAATTGTATCTTAAACTTTTTTTCTAAAAAATTGAAAAACTTATTTAGTCTTGTTAAATCCCTCGGATGATAATTATGTTAAAACATTCAATTGCAAATATGTGTTTAACCAACGACATTCCACTTAATTATCTTTTAAAAATAAAATAAAATGACGGTTATTAAAATACTAGACGAAAAATATAACGAAGTTGAAATCTACTTTTAAAAAATTATTAAAATTAATAAACAATTTCTCCGAACCTAAGTTGATAATTACTTTTTGAATTTTCATCCTCATAATTTTAATTTTACGATTTCAGTCTCTTTATTTTTGGAAATTATGAAATTAAACACAACATTAATTTGTTAATTTTATATTTAAATTTCTATTTGACATAGTAATAAATATGAAAGCCATTAGCTATATTTAAATTTCTATAATTTTAATCACTTAATAATAAATATTTTAAACTTAATTTAGACAAAATATTATTATTACTAGTGTCTTGATAGGCACTCTTATGCCTGAATGTGTTTTTTACAATGTTTTAAAACTCAGACTGGTGATCGATTCGGTAAAGTTATTGGGTTACTGGTCGGATCAGTGGGTCACTGGTCAGACCGCATGACTTTTGACCCGATTTCTATAAAAAATATATTCATTACCTGAAATTTGTAACTATAATAATATAGAAAATTATAAATTCAAATAATTTAGAATAAATAGAAGTATTAGTAACAATCAAAATAAGTGATAGAAACTTAATGTAGCAAATTATAAATTCAAAGAAGTGATAGAAACTTAACAATTCATAAGTTATAGTATTATAATAAGTCGCAAAAATTCATACTCAACGATCCATAATTTTTTATGTCCATGAAGTCAAATTGTCATAATCTTGATATTCATATCCATCTTCAACTTCATTGTCTTCTCCACCAACTTCATCTTCTCTGGTGTTGCTTTTTTCTTGATTCACAGTATCAACAATAGTATCTTGTGCATTACCCATATCCCCATCTTCATCCTCATCTAAATCTATTTGATCTATAACAATATTTTAAAAAATAATTAACAAAAAAAATTTAGAGATGGTAAATATGAGACATTAAATTGATTCACAACCACAAACTATATTATGCTCATATTAGAACATACCAATATCACTTGAAATTGGTTGGATGGTCATATTTGCAAGGTCATTCCGCAATGCTTCAAACTCTTCATTGGTTAAGAGAGGTGGTGAATCCTCTAATACCCAACTAGAATGGTCGGCAATTGTTTCAATATTGATAGGATCATAACTCCCATTTCTTATTTTCCTAAGACACATGAATTAAATCTAAGTATATGTATTTAAATATAAAAATATAATGATCAGAGAAAAATAACCATAATAATACCTATTTTGAAGTCTCAAGTTGTAACGAACAAACACTAAATCATTAAGCTTTTGGTGCTCCAATCTATTTCTTTTTTTGGAATGAATATGCTCAAATATACTCCAATTGCGTTCACAACCCGAAGCACTACAAGTTTGGCTTAAAATATGAATAGCTAACCTTTGTAAAGTTGGTGTACAAGTGTCATAAGTTTCCCACCATTGATCTGTTTATACCATGTGATTAAATAAATTTATAAACATATTGAAATATAAAATAAAATATATATCAAGAGTTAGAAGTTATGAAATTACCTGCCCTCACAATACATCGTTCATCCACGGCTGATTTCATTCCAAAATCTAATTCACCGTCTTTGAATATTCTCATCTCATCTGTTAACTTCAATCGAAGTTCACAATTTCCATTAGCATGCTTTTCAATGGCATCTAAAATTCCTGATGTTGTGGATGCATGTTTTTCAAATTCTACATCATTATATCTACAAGCTGGATTCAATCAATAACCGGCATCATGAAGATTTTTGCGGAGCTGTGAATCCCAACGTTTATCTAAGATTTTCAAGTAAGGATCCACTTTCTTCTTATTTCTTTGAAACCTCCTCACCATCTCCTCTCTATCTTTGACTATAGATTTGTATATAATTTCCATAGCAGGTTTATCTTCAATATCAACAATACGCAACACACACACAAGTGGTTCAGTGAGTTTAACTACATCAGCATATTTACTCCAAAATCCAGAATCTAAAACTTGATCCACAAACTGTTTTGCCTTTTCTTCTTTGGCATATGCTGAGCTTGTCCATTCTTTAGATGTTACCATGACTCTTAGTGAGTTTTTGTGAGACAAAATACTTTGCAAAGCAATAAAATTAGTGGCAAACCGAGTTGGAGCAGGACGAATGATTTCTCTTCCACCTATTTGTTTTCTCATTAAATACAATGCATAACAATGGTTACAAATATATTTGGTAATATTAGAAGCATGTGACACTGTCTCACTTACTTCCTCTAATTTCCCCATGTCTTGCAACATCAAGTTAATGCAATGTGCCGCACAAGGAGACCAAAATAAAGTAGGAAACTCATTTTCTAGTAATCTTCCAGCAGCAACATAATTTGCAGCATTATCTGTCACTATGTGAACTATATTTTCAGGCCCAACAAATAAAACCACCTCTTTAAAAAGCTTATACAACATATCTGCAATTTTTGAAGCATGAGAAGCATCAACGAATTTTAGAAAAATAGTACCTTTGGTATAATAAACTAGAAAGTTTATAAGAGTTCTTCTTTTTCGATCAGTCCATCCATCGGCCATTAGAGTACAACCGGTTTTCTTCCAAATCTTATGACACTCCTCTATCAATTTGTTCACATCTTCAACCCATTTATTTAACAAATAGCCACGAAGACTATGCATAGTTGGAACTTTATACCCCGGACTCATGCTGCAAAGTGCATCAGCCATAGATTGAAAATACGCAGAATTAACTGCATTGAATGACACAGAAGAATCAATGAACCATCTTGCAATAGCTAGATCACACTTCTCCACCAATTCCTTACTTTGTAACACACTTTTTAAAGAAGGTTGAGCACCAGGAGTTGTTCCAGCCAAATGGAACTTGAACCTATTAATCCCCCCTCTAATAATTTTATCACAGTAAATACACAAATTAACAAGTTTTCCTTTCTCTTCAATTTGTTTACAATGACCCCAAGCTATATCAGTTTTTCCCCTACTGCTCTGGAGTTGGGTTGGATTTTGAGATGTAACTTCTTCCGAAGTTATTACTTCAGCGGGTGATGCCATATCTAATATCAATCAAAATTTAAAAATACAAAACTATATTATAAAAATATTAACAAAACACAATTCTAAACAAAAATTATTGAATTTATAAAAACATTATAAGAAACATTAAATATGTAGCATATCTAAATCCAAAATATATGAATATGTTATTGTATATTACATATAGGCTACCAAGCATCGTTACTGTGCATCACCATATATAATAAAAAAAATAGAAACTTTGCTTTTCAACCTTTGCTATATATTTTAGATTAATAAAATCCTGAAACTTTTCTTTGTTATATAATTTAAATTAATAAAAAACAGAAAACTTTGTCTTACTATATAATTTAGATTACATAGTTTTAAATCGAATTTCTATCTCCATAATATATACAACGACTATTACAGTAATATATATCTATCCCAATTTCTATCTCCAATATACAACAACTTTATTACCAGTCTATAATAAGTTAATTCATAAAAGTATAAAACTGCTTCATTCATACAAATTTTATCTCAATTTGTTAAGCTAAAAGACCCAATTTTATAGAAAATGATCAAATTTAATCATTTATTTTCTATATCAATTAATCAACAAAATGAAACAATAATATTCATATTGAAAAACATCAGTGCAAATTAGACCAAGTAAAAAAGAAATAACCTGTTTTTGATGTTTTGATGAAATTTTTGACGGCAAACAAGGAATATCAAATAATAGCAGCAAGTGGGAGTTTTTGTTGGTAGAGAAAATTGAGAATATGACTTCAATTAGAAAAAGAAAAGACAGAATAAAAAAGAAAACATTTCAAATGCCTAGGTTTGGGAAACGAGAAGGCAAAGCGTTTATGTTAATTTTTTTTCGAAAGCCCTAAAAAATAAAATAAATAGTCAAACCCGCCGGTTCAGTAAAAACCGTCGGTTCACTGGTTTAACCAGTGATCCGACCAGTTCACACTGAATTCATCTGGTCTAAATGTAATTCTGATCTTATCCCTTAATCGGACCGCCTGGCCTACCGCTTCTCGGTCAGGCCGGTCCGACCGGCCGGATCGGGCTGGGTTTTAAAACACTGGTTTTTTAAACACATACGTGAAATTATAAGATTTTGTTTTTACTTAATTTTGATTTTGATTTAATTTATTTGTTAGATAAAATATGTGGTATGTATAGGTAGAGATGTTAAAATGGATTAACTCATATGGGTCATTTTATCCAATCTAAAAATTTATAGGGATTGGGGGATTTTAAATAAGAGCTCGTATTTTTAAGGATTTTTTTTAATCCAATCTTAAAAAGTCCGCTACGAATTAGAGTTAATCTGCATGGGTCGTGGGTAGTCTATTATGTTAGAATTAATTTAGATTTTATAATTAATTAGATATTAATTTATATTTAGGAATATCTTTTAGATTGTTTATATCTTTGTTAGAAGATATATATCTTAAATCTTCTTATATCTTTGTTATAAGATATATT